TTTTGTAAATGATGTTCTGTTGGTGAGTTTCTTTTGGATATTGCAGCTTCTGCAAAAGCCTATTTGACCGATAGCTCCTACTTACTATACCGACCGAAAATCCACCGAATAGACCAACGAAAGCCCCATGCAGTCCCTACGGTGAACTTTTGTTTAGCGACTCTTCGTATCCCTTATCAGCTGCTCCTAGATCTGTAACCTCTGTTTAAAATTTGTCACCAATGGAGCACTGCTCATGATAAATACAGGCTCAATGAAGCCGAAACTAGATTAAGCAACCTGGCCTGCCGGCTTAAGACTATATCACCTATTTAAAATATTTAACCTTCGTTTAAAATTTGTAAGGCTACTGTCAGAACCTGTTACATTTTAAATTGTGGTTAGAACAGCAGGAACATCTTTCATAAATTGAAGTCTGGGTTGAACAGTTGATGATTCAAGCTCTCTATACGGGTTCATTGACCAGCTTTGGTTGAATCTTCCAGTGGGAAGATATTTTAAATTTGCCAACCCTCTCTCTCTCTCTCCCTCTCAGAAAAATTGGGTTCACGCCTCCAATTGTTGCCTTATTAATCTCTCTTTTTACTCTTGAGAATGTTTGCAAAAGCAAACTTATGTGCGAACGTCACAAAGTAAGTTCGGATGATTTTGGTGAGTGTTTTTTCAACGCCTCAAGAAGTGCAGTGTATGTGTGACTTGCTCACATTTCTTTCTTCTCTCCTTCTAGATTCAATTGAACAGTTACAAGGGAAGAGAATAGCTTTTCGTTCAGCGAAAGTACGTGAAAATACTGATTCCAAGAAAAAGTCAAGCAAAAACAGTAAGACCAACAATAAGTCTTCTTCGCAATACGTGTCCAAGGTATTTACATTTCAGCGATAATAGTTTGAAAAGACGTAGAAGTAATGATGTAGTATTACTGTTGGTATAAGGTAGTAGTAGTAGTAGTAGTAGTAGTCTTAGTAGTAGTAGTAGTTGTTGAAAGAGGACAGTGGTGCTGAAGTCTTCCTTCCAGACAACAGCTAATCACCTAAATCAGTTTAGTATCAAATCAGCTTAAGTGCAAGGGAGAAATAAGATAATAGATGCACACCACTATAAATGCATGATGTGATAATTGGACCGCGTTAAACTGAAAGGAACCAAGCAACATCAGCTATTGCCCAATTTCATCGGGCAATTCAATTTTTTACATGAAAACGGTGGTGCAGATTTATGTGCAAATTTCAGTGAATTTTCTCGATACTACAAAGCAAGTTCCTGAAAATTTTCAAAAGAATAAGCACAATTGTTCTCTATAAAAAATTAAATTTCCCCGTTAAATTTGGCAATAGCTGATGTAGCTTGGTTCCTTTCTGTTAAACGCAGTCCAATTGTTTGAATCCAATTTTTTCAAAATCAGCTCATGTAAGTAGTGCATGCTCAGCTTGCAGTTACTCAGTTGCAATGTTATTTTCTGTAGTAGTTAGCTATATGTGAGTCAACTTTCAATGTAATCTTATCCATTAGAAATAACAGTATGATTTTGCCAGTCCACGATGGCAGCAAATTATCACAGATATAATGTCAGCTGTTTTATGGCACCCCGTGGGATTTTAATAAGTTGAAAGAATCATTTGAAATTGGTACTATATTCGGTAAAGAATATTTGGTATTTCATGAAAACATTTGGGGAAGGGGGGCCGAGTTCCTTGTTTATGTAGTTGCCCTAGAGAAATTTCCTACCATTACTCTGTTAATTTCTTGATTTATGCGTTGAGATTATGAGGAAATATGACGCAAAAAATCATACTTAAGTTTATTTTTCCCCCAATTTTGCGAACAACTCTTTGACAAACACTCCTGACCATCATTTTTCTCCATAGAACCTGGGCCATAAGAATTTTTTTCAAGTTTTCTCTACATACCTGTCATGAAAGTTAACGGCATGAACATAAAAATGTGTACTTAATTTGCATCCGCATGTCTCCATGACAATAGTTGTCCCTTGCTTTGTGTTCTCTCCACTTTTTAATGCGCCAACAGTTTGGAATGTTTAATGTTTCTCACACATTTCATGGCATCTTTGATTCTATTCGACAACAGATCCACTATTATTGTCACGAAAAGTTGCTCACTCAGTAGCTTGGCCTAGCAACTCATCAAGCTCCCCATGTGATGAGTCACGAAATGAAGTAATGTTTTATTTTTTTCCTGTTGATACTGATCATTAATTTAGTAAAGCCATTTTCTCTTAAATGTCAGCATCCTTTTTTTAATGAAAGTCTTGTGTAATGTGTCACTAAAATTTTCAGCCTGCGTGAGTGCTTTGGATTTTTCGGATTCGCACAAAGCCGTAGAATGGACATAGACAGAAGCATTCATCCTTTCGAAGCTAATATTTTTAAAGGAATATGAACGCCTTGAATAAGCTAGAGGTATAAAGCAACTCACACCCCCAACGAATTTCCAAGGTATATGATAATATTTTTATGTTGTTGTTTTTTAACTATATCAACTGCTCATGTTTTTCGCCCACTACATGTGAAATCTCTAATAGCATGTAAATGTTGTCTTGCACGTTGTGTTAATGAATTTACGTGTCGTGTCTAACTTTATAGAAGAAATGAAACAGGTCAATGTTCTACATCTTCTTATTCCTGCAGCATTTTAATAGTGAAGCCCCCACTGACGGCTCAAACATTAAACTTCAAAGAACACTGTGCCTGTCACTGTTTGCAATAACGCATCCAACCTCCTCGTAAAAAATATTCAACAAATTGGATATTAAGCAACACAATTCCTTGAATACATCCATGTATATTCGTAGTTTTTCTTCTTGATGTAATGGATAGGTATTCTGCAAACATTTTATGGAATGAAATTGATTTGTTTTCTTTGGAAAAATTACATATGCAGACATTTTGGACACTGCAATCAAGATACATGGTTTTCAGTTTCACAATGGAGTTATGATAACAAATATTAATGAAAGTTCTCTTGTCCATACCACTCAGTGTATATTCATTTACTTAGTGTCTGTTCTATCCTCAATGAGACAATATAGTAAAAATATGTACTTATCTCATTTTCATTTGCTGTGACATTCAAAAATGTTGCTCACTCTAGTGCCTCGGTGCTCTAAGGCAGACCTTTTCATTTGGGCAGACACGTCTAATAAATATTATGTAGTACTTTCCTACCATAATTTATCGTCAACTTTTACAGGGAAGAAAGAAGAAAATCATCAAGGAGAGTGAAAAAGGTACCTTTTCGATGTTAGAAAAAAAATGCGGAGAGAGTGGCTCATCATCATCGGAACAATTGGATTCTGGAGATGAGCTTATCGACAAGAACAAGTATGATGAACTTTTGAGAGACTACAGAAACTTAGAAAAGGCCAATGATAAATTGGAAAATGAATTATCCCGTTCGAAAAAGAGGGTTGAAAAATTGGAGGACACGAACGAAAAACTTTCAAATGACTTGAGGTGTCAAAGTAAGAAGATGGCTATGATTGAAAATCTCAACTTTCAATATCAAGCCAAATTGTTAGCCGACAAGGCAGATACAAAGGTCCCAAGTACTCAGGTACAAAGTCAGAATCCTTTACCAACAACTCCATTGCTGTCCAGCACTCCAAGTGCAAAAAAAGTCTTGTTCCCTGAAGAGAAAAATCAAGATGTAAGTAGAAGCTTTAAAATCCTCTTTTCATTTTTAGATTTAGCACTCTCATACATTGAAAGGTGGCTGTGAGCAAATGCTGTTTTAAGTCTCCTGGAGAAAGTAATCATGAAATTAGATGAGAATTGAGACAGGTATTTGGGAAAGGCACTTTTTACACAGCTGTTTTGACTAATATTTACTAAATCCTACATAAACCTAGTTTCTGGAAGATTTATTTTATCGGTCAAAGAATTTCTACCAAATTAAATTAAATGAAGAACTAATTCCTCCTCTTTCCTGTACTTACTTATTTTTTCCCCCTCAATTTCTGGAGAATACTTTTTATTTTACTAATGGACAACTCTAAATATGTTACATGTCTAATTTTACAAATTCATTCCATCATTTCTTTGCTTTTACAATTTATGCTTATTGCAATTTTCAGAATGTTGTTTCTTCTCCCTCCAAGTCGATTTGGCATGTATCAAACCCAAAGGCTCTGGCTCCAATATGCCAGTCTGAATTGTCGTCGCCAAATAAAATCATCCAACTTGAAAAACCCGCTCAAGCTGAACCTGAAGAACCAGCTCAGGCTGAACCTGAAGAACCAGCTCAGGCTGAACCTAACGAATCTGCTGAAGCCAATGAAGAATCGGAACCACCTTCCAAGGTATACCTGCTATTGTATACATTCTCACTCGATGTCTTTGACAGAGCATCTCAGTGTCTAACAACCAGGAGTAAAGGGATGGATGGATTAAAAAGTTGGATTCATCAGGAATTTTTTATAAAAGGAAGAAAGAGAAAAAAAAAGTTTCTGCTCGGGGGAATTATGCCTTGTCTTCCAGATGTTTCCTGTCCAACTTAACTTCATGGGTCTTAATTATACTGTGCTCTTGGAGCCCCTTGAAGGATTTTCTAATCAACAAGCAGTCATTTTTGTTGTTATTTCAATATTTATGATGGTAAAAATCATGGAAAGAGTTCCAAAAAATTTTAACACAAATGTTTCAGCAATTGGGGAATTTTTTACTTTGCTGCCAGGGAATTCTGAGAAATAACAAGGAATCATTTCCCTGAAATTGATTCAAGCGTCCTGGATATGCATCTGATTTCTTGATGTTTTTCTCGAATTCTTCGGGAAATTCATTGTACCTCTTCTTCATTTTAGATATTATATTTCTATCGTTGCTTTGTTTTCTTAGAAACCACGGTTGCTTTTGAATGTGACACCGAAGAAGATGAGGAAGGTTTTATTGAATGTAAAAGGCGATGTACAAGGAGACAGCCAGTTTGTGAAAAATTTGGCTCATGTTGTTTTTGGGGTACCACTTCTTATTGCTTCATCTGTGACAGGAAAAACCTACAATCAAAACAAGTTCGCTAAAACCTATCCAGCTCTCCCAACAGAGGGTGTTGATTATATCAAAGGTAAGTCAAAACAGATTTATAATTTAATGGTTGTAGCTCTTTTTTACGAAAACGAAACTGAATGGACCAGAAAAACCATAAACATCATGCTTATAAGTCAGGCATCTTCTTTCCAAAATAGACCTTTTTGCTCTAATTATAAGTAAATCCATATCCTCCTGGTCTAATAGATCCCTAGTATTCTAAAGGAAATCTAAGAATTAAAGGCTCAAACTACACCGACCTAAAAAACACTTAAATGAAGAAACATTTCTATAAGAGGCCTCAATGTTTTTGAATTAGAAGAGGGAAAAGGACTTCCTCCCTTCCCCTCCCGCCATTCTCATCGAATGTAATGTTAATTTTGAAAATATTTTCATTGCAGTAACTATTTATACAGAATAATTATTTAAGATTAAAATTTGTGAATTGCAGTAGCATCCATGCAGACCTAACTTGCTCCTTAGTGCAATCAGGAAATGACAGCTGTTCGGCCTAAACTGATTTTAATAATGGGAGATTTAGGATTTTTTTTTTTTTTTTTTTTTTTTTTTTCAGTGCCTCGATTTTGCATGAACGAATTAGATGCCCTGGAAGAGAGTGCATGGTGAAAATTTTGTGCTCTTGATCGAAAAGTCGGACTTGCCTCAAAATTTTAATGAATTTTAATGGTCCAAACATTAAGCAAATATCTCAATTTGACACCTTTTCATGAATGTTCTTCATGTTTCAGTTCACACCTTATAAAAACATTTATTAATCACATGGGTAAAACATGTGTCATATTGAAGTTTCTGCTGGATGTTTGAAACAGGTTTCAAAAAAATGTTGAGGTAAATCTGAAGCAATTCACAGATTTTTATCTTGAATTGTTCATTATAATAAATTTTCAGAGGGTACAGGATCATTTGAATCGGCGAAATGAAGTATTTTTCTCTCTTTCTTTCCCTGTCCCTCTCTTTCTGGGGTTTTATAAAACGGCCAAAACATTGTTAGTTGAAAATAATTTCCCATTCTTTTGCATGTACTTCAATATGTAGCAGGCTTTGCACACATTATGAACGTACCAACATTAATCCTGATTGTTTTTTTTTCCTATTCCAGAATGCTTCATTGAGCGAATGAAGAACGAAACTCCAGTCCCAACCAAAAAAGAAATGGAGCTGAGGGAGGGAAAAGTAAAGACCTACATTAGCGGAAAAATCAAAGACCTCCGGCGCGCCCTCAAAAATTGCAAGAAAGTTTCAAAAGAAACATTGGAAGCAGTTAAGGAAGAAACATCAGAAGCAGTTAAGGAAGAAACATCAGAAGCAGTTAATAAAGAAACATTGGAAGCCGTTCAGGAAGAAAGCTAAGTAGGAAAGTTGGGTACTTTAGCGACTACTCTTTTGTACGTATCAAACTTTAGTTTCTTAAAATAGTTCATAGCACCCAACATAGGTGATGTTCTCCACAAGAAAAGATTTTTCAAATATTATAATACCTATTAAATTTTAATAATTTTGTAAAAGAAGTTTCCAATTTCATTTTGCTGTACTTTTTTATAATACATTTCATAGAAATTTCAACATGATTCCT